CTGCGTTTATTAGAAAAACATAAATTATATATAGGAGAGAGATAATTAGGCGAACTAGAAAAAAAGTAGATAGTCTTCTTCGTCTGTTTAGAAAATGAACAATAGGACGAATTGAGACAATGACCTTCTTATTCAGAACAGACGTTAGTTAGGAAAAGTAGGTCAGACGTACAAGACATATATGTAACAGCTGAACAGAAAAAGAAAAGAAGTGGAGCATTACGTAACAGAGAGAGAGAAATAAACATGTACATATGTTCACATTAGAGAGATTATAGTAGCTAGAGGGAGTGGAAAAGAAGTGTTCATGTTCAGAATAAAGAGGTGTTCACTATCGAGAGGTGTTCACTTATAGAGGTTTTAGTGTATATATGTTTATATTTATTTATTTATTTTTTCTTTCTTTTCTAACATATTAAATAAAGGACTAAGAAGAATGAAAATAATGTTTATTATTAAAATCAAATTATTTTTTAATTCTATTTTTCAGATTGATCAACATTATTTTCACCTTTAGCAAAACATAAACTGTGTTAAATGAAAAATACAAATACTTTTTGATTTTTTTTTCTTGATTTCTGTTTGTTTTCCGTTATTTAAATAAATAACAATAAAACGAGTTCATCACATGATCATGATAAAACATCTCAAACATATACAAATGCTAGTGGTGATGCTAGTATAATGGCATCTGAGCGTAAACATGTACAAATACATCGAAATTCAGGTTCAAATTCAAATAGACAATTAGTTAGTTCACCAACAAATGTCCATGGACATTTATTACAAAGAAATGCCAAAATATAAAAAAAAAATAATTGGAAATCAAGACAAGGTTTGTTTTATTTTAAAAAAATATTTGATATAATAAAATTCTATATTTTAAAATGAGGTAGTAGAAAAAAATTTTAAAACAATGTATTTTTCTATTATATTAAACATCTAACTCAAATTCAGATAGGAATATTAATAACCAATAGAGTTTTCTGTAGCAAGATTTCATAGATGAACTATGATGTCAAAGGTTCTAAAAACCTCGGATATGATAGGTTTGCAGATCGCAGAAATCTTGGGCGGAACCATTTTTTAACAATATCATTCTAAAGAGAACAAAATGCGACCATCTTTCATTTTATTCTTAAAACGACAATGTTAAAAAAAATAGCTCCAACAAAGTTTTCTGACAGTTGAAAACTATCATGTTCGGTTTTGTTTTTAGAAATCTTACCATAGAAAACTCTATTGACTATGAAAATCAAAAATATATTGTTGTTAAACGTTTTTTTTTTCGTCACTTTAGGTAAAGGTCGTGGTTTACCAAGGAAAGATGACGATGGTGATGGTTATACATGGGGTGTATTTGGTTCAGAATTATTTGAAGAATATAATGAGGAATTAGATGATGAAGATTTAGCTAATTTACAATATAAAGAAGCTAAAGCTAAACTTCTTGCTGAATCATCAAAATCATCATTAGAAACAAAATTTAGTAAATTAGAATTAATTGAAAGTATGGATAAAAATGTTAAACCATTAATTGATGAATATTTTGTTAATAGTGATGGAAATGATGTTGCACAATCATTAAGAAAATTTGATATTAAACAACATGGTGATGAATTAATTGTTTATATTGTTACAAGAACATTAGAAAAATCTAATGTTTATAAAGAATTAATATCATGTTTATTACATGATCTTAATGGTATTATATTACGTTCAAATGATTATATTAATGGATTTAATTCATTATTAGAATCATTATATGATTTATCATTTCATACTCCAGAATATTCAACTGATATTGATAAAAAAAATTTGATTTATTGTTTTTATTTATTTTTTCTATTTTATTTTATTTAGGTAAACTTATTGCTCGTTCTATTGCCGATAAATGTATTGACAATACCAATAGAAAATATTTTCTTCAATATAAAGGAAATGTTAAATGTTCAAAAATGCAAGCAGCACTTGATAAAGCTGAAACATTTGTATTAATTGGAGATTTTTATTTTCCTAATAATGTTTGGAATGCTCAATCAAGTATGAGAATAAAAATGAAAAAAAAACATCTTTTTTTTATATGATGATAATTAAAAATAGATTTTTTATAATTTTAGATGGTTTTCGACCTGTACGAGAATTAGCTGATACAATGAATATAATTATTCATAAATATTATGATAGTGGAGATGTTGATGAAATAATTCATTATTTAAAAGAATAAAATGTTCCACATTTTTTTCATGAATTTTTTTATGAATTAATGGATTTTTGTCCTGAAAAAAATACTAAACGGTTAGTATATTCATTAAATAGATTGTAGAAGAAAATTAAGTTTTGATTTGTAAAAATTTTTATATTAAATCAAACATCTATTTTTCAATTGTAAATATAAAGAATCGAGAAAATTCGATAATCAAATTCTAATATTATCTATTCTACGTAACTTATGATTTTGATTTAAAAAACTATTTGAGAATCTAATATTTCCTATAGTAATTGCAAGAAGTCCTGCTACTCGGATAAAAAGTACATAAACTTGAATTCCTTTGCCTAATATTTTGAGTACAAATAGAGCTTGGCAAAACCTTGGTCGTAATCAGCAATTCAAAGCCAATATGCCTTAATGCGAGGGATTTACAATGAAAACACTGGTTTTCAACTATTCGAATGCGTTAATCTCCATTTTCTTATTAACAAATAAAAATTCACATACCTATATTGTGGTACTGATAGGGTACTTCAATCCGCTGTAATTTTGCGACGTAAGGAAATCTCCATTGTCTGAGATGGTCTCAGCATAAATACCTTCTCGATTGATGACTGCAATTGTAAAACTTTGACGGAAAACTTCATTAGAGCAGAACACTCACTGGAGAAAATTTCAAGGCAAATAGTTCAAATTAGTCGGAAATATCGGTCACTTTTCGATGGTTCTCATCAATTCTCATGTGAAGATTGCTTCACAAATTAAACAAACTAAAATTGTTTGACATGAAATTTTTATTGATGATAGAACCAGCACTAAGCTGTCGAAGGAGTGATTTAACGTCATGATATTTATTTTCTATATTGATCTTCTAGCTTCTTCGATTGAAGGTCGATTAAGTCCTGATTAGTTCTTACGATCAAAGTTCAACATGCTCTATTTGTGATCAAAATGTGAGAATAAAGGATTCAAGTTTAATTATTTTTGCAACTATTGTATTTGTAGTGTTTATATGGAATGATTTTGAATAGTAGTGGATGGAGAGATGGGATGCAAATACTTCTAATAGGCTTAATACTTTTTCGTTCTTCCATAAATGTGCAATCATTGTGCTCATTCGATACATCTCATAATACCTACAAAACGGTAGAATTTCTTTTTTTTTGATATAACCTTCTATTCAATAGAAACACAAAAGTACTTAAAATTTGTATGTATTTCCAACTTTTTTTTTCTCATGAGTCGATCTGAATAAAAAAAAATTAATTATAAGCGCTGATACGACGCGTCGAATGAGTCCTATGATTGTGTATCTATAGTAGAACAAAAAAAGTAGTCTGGCATAGTTTCTTATTTATCTTGGAATCTATTTTGATTTTCCGAATACAAAGAAAAAACATAAATACGAATGAATATTGCTTAGATTAGATTTCAGACAATCTTTTGCTCATGATCAGTTTATTTTTTATTGAATGCAAATGATTAATATTGTAACATATATCATACATTTAACGCTATAATACGTTATTGTCCTGTTATTTTCTTTAGAAAAGTATATATTGAATAGGAATAACGTCTAAAGGTAATATAGAGTCTCGTTAATCAAATTTTCTATAACCTATGAAAACAATATTCAGATGCAGAATTTGAAATTCTTTTTGTGATTATAAGCATTTCATGAGAAAATCTCGCATAATCTGAATCAACTCAATTAAGGTCCTTTGCTTCTTAGAAGACTGTTTTTGTCTTAGAACGACCGGTCTGGTTGGAAATTTCAGAGAATATATGTTCGAGTCTTTACAGTTCACAGTAAAAAATTTCGGCCTAACATATTAAACTGTTAATAAGCTATCAGAGCCGTAGCCAGAATTTTTATATATGCTGGATTTCACCTTCAGTGCATGGGATCCATATGAAACTTATCTAGGATGATATTGAACCCAAATGATGAGTTTTTATGAAAATTTTTGCGACATATTGTAAAAATTCAAAATATTATAACTTTTGTAGGGATGCATAGTTTTAGACGAAATTTTAAATCTGTCAATGAAATTCGATGTAGATTATGATTAAACTCTAAAAATGGAATACTACTAAAACCAAAAAAAAATTTTAGGGGGGGGAGGGTTAAGAAAAAAAAAGAAGTTTTTTCGCAAGCTCCGATTGCAAAAAATTTTTCATAAAAACTCATCATTTGGGTTCAATATCATCCTACATAAGTTTCATCTGGATCCCATGCGCTGAAAGTGAGATCCAGCATGCACAAAAATCCTGGCTACGCTACTGGTAAAAAGTTATATTAGATTATCGGTTTTTTAAGTAAGAATAAAATAATTAACTGCTACAGACGAAACAAAATAATTATTACAATTGCTTTCTTTGCAGTTTATCTTTATCAGATGACCTTGTCTAAGAGCACAAACAGACTAGACGAATGAAAACTGAATTAAGAAAGATGATTGATGTTGCTACATGGAAACACCAATCACATTTAATTCAGTTTTATTTTTTCTATTGTGTTTGACCCCTAAACTTAGGTTATTCTTTCTCGATCATAATTGATATATTCAATCGTTTTCTTCGTATTGTGTGAAAAGAGAAAGAAACAAAGAATCGTCAATCGGAGAAAATTATTCGCTTGTATTAATTCATATTCGATTTCAGCAAATCATATTTTTCGATGATGTTCCGCTTCGTGAGAATATTCTCCACTCTTTGTTAGTATATGAATAAAGAACAGCAACTATTATATATACCACGAAAACACACTACATTTAGACATATAGTCATGAATTCGTCTAACATGCATATGCATAAACATTTTGTAGGCATATGAAATTTTTTCAATACAGATTATTAAAAATGTTCTATTTTTTATAGTTTATTTGGTGGATTATCTTCTTATACAAAATCAATCAACAAGTTATTACTTTTAGAATTGTGAACAATGAATTTTTAAAAAAAGAATTGACAACAGAAGGTAAGATCAATGACGAAATTTCTATGCCGTTAGAACTCGAATTATATTCTTCTCTCATCATATTCTAGATTTTCCTGGTGCACGAAAATATGCACGCAACTGGACTTCGGGTGATACAATTGGGCATGGTGTTTTTACATACGAAGACGGAGGCCGATACGAAGGAAACTTCAAACGTCGTGCTGGTAGAGAAGGAAATGGCACTTTTTATTTTGCTGATGGACGAAAATATGTAGGCAGTTGGATGAATAATCAACCGAATGGACAAGGTATTTTTACATGGCCAGATGGAAATCGATATGAAGGTAGCTTTAAAGATGGTAAAATGCATGGAAATGGTGTTTTATATTATACTGATGGTCGAAAATATATTGGTAATTGGATCTATGGGAAATCGAATGGACCAAGTATTTTAAGATGGCACAATGAGACCCAAGAGAAAGAATTCTGGAAAAAAATCAAGATGCTAAGTGGTTTAAATATAGGCACAAATTTTGAACGGCCGTTTAGATGCAATTAATCAAATAAAAATACTTTTGCGAATTAAACATTTTTGTAGAGTAGTTTTTTTTGTATGTTCTCTTTCTCATAGAGAAGAGTCTAGCAAGAATAAATTGTTTGCTTGCTTGCTTGATTGCTTGCTTGTGTATCTGCACTTCAGTGATTGGTCCAAGAATAAGGTGAAGACAAAAGGGATTATTTACCATAAAACTTGACCAAAGGTAATCGGGGCGGGGAATTCAAATTTGAGGTTAGTTTTAGTTAATTATTACTAATTATTAATTGATTATTATTTATTAATGTTTTCCAAAAAACTTGACCAAAGGTAATGGAAGATGAGGAATCCGAATTCGAGATCATTTTAATTAATCAATTATTAATTAATTAATTATTACTGATACCTACTGTTTGAGTACATATTGTGCCTACAAGGGAGCTTTGGTGAAACTAGCAAAAAGTTCAAAAGAGTTCTTTCCCATGGACTCTTGAAACAGAATTATAACTGTTCTACTGAATTTTCGTCTCCATTTTACGTATACGCTGAAAAATAAAAAAAACAGAACTTCGAACTGAACTTTGGTCCATAAATAGCTCGAATAATCAGTAGAATATCCTGAAAGTTTTAATTGAAAAGAATGTTCCTTTATCGAGATATTGAATTCTCAAGTAAAATTTGATTCATGTAGAACTTCTGCAGCAAACGATTATTTTCTGAAAATATAATATCTCGACAAAGGAACATTTTTTTCGGCTGAAACTTTCAGAATATTTTACTGATCATTCGATCTATTTATGGACAAAATTTCAGATCGAAATTCCCTAATTTGATTTTTCGGTAAATTCCTAAAGCTAGAACGAAAACTCAGTTAAGCGGTCATAACTTGGCTTCAAAAGCTCATGGACATGAACTCTTTTAGGATTTTTCTAGTCTTACTGAGACCTCCTTGCGAATCCGATATGAGATCAAACAGTGCGTGCTTCCCTCGTAATATTATTGAAGTTTTTCATTGATATTAAACTTTTTTTTTTTAGAATTTACGGAATCTTATCCAAATAAACCACCATCTGTTCGATTTACATAAAAAATGTTTCATCCGAATGGTAAAGCTGTTTTTTTTTATCATCTTTAAATAAATGTTAATAAATAATAGTCTGTGCTGATGGTGGAATTTGTCTTGATATTCTACAAAAGCGTTGGTCACCTACATATGGTGTTTCAGCTATTCTGACTTCAATTCAAGTAAATATTAAATGAAATATTTCGTGTTCTGTTTTTTTCATTTATGAATTTCTGTTTTAGTCATTACTTGATGAATCAAATGTTTCATCCAGGGTTACCAGATCTTCCGAAATGACAGAAAACATTCCGAATTTTGACTTTTTTCCGAAAGTCTTCCGAATTTCCGAATCCTTCCGAATTAGGACTCTTTTCCGAATTTTAACATTTTCTAGATTTCACTTTTTTCCTTGCAATTTACTAAAATGTAATCATTAATGCGCCATCTCTTTTCTTCTATAATGATTGGCTACTCTACTGCTCTCAGATCAGAGATCGGGGGGACGATCAAAAACTGTCCCGGCAAGGCCCGCCGGGAGTGATTCAAAGACTGTGTCCCACCTCATCCCGTCCCGTCCCGCGTCCCGCTAAAATTCTTACAATCCCGTCCCAGCTAATCCCGCGAGCATGTTTTCACCAAAGGTAAACAGCGTATATATATCGTTGTAAAACCGAAGGCGAGGAAAGCATGAAGCAAGTGTGTTTGATCCATCGGTAGATTCAGACGAGTTACATAGATGATAGAGAAGAAAGTGAGTACTGTTGGATGTGAATGAGTAAGTCTTGCAACACTTCCGGCAAGAAACAAATTTGTCAATACGTTCTGGAGGACCACCATTAGAATCAATAAGTGCCGGAAATCCAAACACTTGCTAACATGTAGACGTCAGTTTTTTATTTGTATTGTTTATACCGATAAGACGATCTTTCTCTTTCTTGAGATTTTCAATCTGTACACAAGAATAAACCTCATGATTTGAAGTACGAATGAGTGTTGATGGTGTCGAAGTAGAAGAGGCGAGATCAATTCTCGATGAAGACGAAATAATACCAGAGCATGGAGAATAGCTATGACCATCGACTTTTCTCAGCGTATAATCCATGTGTAAAGACGAATTGAAACGAACAACTTTCGAAAGTAACAATTGTAACGAAATAAAACAGAATGAACAAATGTATACATGCCTAACTTTATTATATTTTCTATGTTAGACGAATTATATTATGATCGTTATCTCATTCTTCGGTCATCATTCATCTCATTCAATTCAAATTGCCCGTCAATATTGTTCTTTTTCTGTCTCAATGTCTGTTCACACAATGGTCAACCGCCTTGATAACTATTCTTCTACTCTTGTGACATAAAATCGATCACTATTGTGCTACACAACATGAACGGTCATTTTTGTGTTTTGTTCCATTAATGAAAGTAAGCGGGAGAAGCACTGAGTCCCGCCTATCCTGCATCCCGCGATCTTTTGTCCCGTGTCCCGTCCCGTCCTACTTCTATTTTTCTTCTCTCATCCCGTCCCGGAACGAGACGGGACAGAATGGTCCCGCGTCCCGTCGGTCTCTGTCTCAGATTACTTCGGAAAAATCATGGAAATCATTGATTCTCTACTGTACCGACTAAATTTCTAGCTTCAAAGAGATAGAGGTTCGTTTAATAGTTCTTAATTTTTAGATTCGATCATTGTTAATTATGGATGGTGAATCAGATGATTCAGATATGAGTATCAATTCAGTTGAAGAAGAACAAGAAATAATATCTTCAACAATTTCTACTTCTACACCAACAGCAACAACAACGGCAGTTGATCATAAAATGAAGAAAAAAAAAGGCGTTTTTAAAAAAGATTGGCTTAATGTGAAAGAATATTCATCCTGGTTACAAGAAGTTAAAAATGATCAAACACAAGTTCGATGTAAAGCATGTTTAAAATCATTTAGTGTTCGATGTGATGGTAAAACAGCTCTTAAAAAACATATGAATAGTGATTTTCACAAAACATGTATGAAATCTTTTTCCAACAAGCCAATGATTGTTCATTATGCACCTACAATTAGTGAATTACAAAAAGTTTCAGCAACTGAAGCTACACTTGTATATCATGGTGTTAGACACGGCCACAGTTATATTTCACAACAGTGTACAATAAATCTAGTTAAAAATTTATTTGAAACAACTTCAACAATTGCCAAATCTTTATCATGTGCTAGAACAAAATCAAGAGCTATTGCTTGTAATGTTTTAGCTCCATACTTTACACGTCAGAAAGTTAATGAAATATTAGAAGCTCGTTTCTATTCAATTTCGTTCGATGCTTCAAATAAAGGAAATGTTAAAACTTATCCATTCGTTGTTCAATATTTCTCCGATATTGGTGTGAAGAGAGGTATATAGTCTTTACTATTTCAGATTCGCCAGTCATACACAATTAATTGCATTCTATTTTATATTTAGGTCTTCTTGATTTTATTGAAGATTCACGTGAAACAGCACTTGATATATTTAATAATACGATTAAAGCCATCGAAAATCATCAATTACAAATCCAAAATTTGACCAGCATTGGTGCTGATAATACCAATGTGAACTTCGGTAAATATCATTCGGTATTCAAATTGTTTAAAGATTGTTTACCCAACATTTTCAAAGGTAAATAAAGCTTATTTCAAACTCATTTGAAAAACTTATTGAACTTCGTATCATTTATTCATTTTCCTTATTTATAGGAAATTGTTATGCCCACATATTGCATAATAGTGTTAAGCATGCACATGATGAATTAACAATCGACATCGAAATTACATTATGTAAAATCTATTCATACTTTTCCAAGTCAGCTAAACGTGTAGAACAGTTGAAGAAGTATTATGATTTTGTTCAATTAGAATATAAAGTAAGTTGTGAAAAATTAGCCTCAGAAAAAAAAACTTCCAAAACAGTTATATAAAAGCTCTGCTTATTTGTAAGTTTTTATTGGAACACATAAGTATGCGATGGTTAAGTTTGTTGCCTTCAGTACAACGCCTAGTAGAAAACTATGAACCATTAAAACAATATTTTCAAAATTCATCACCATCAACAGAAAAATTCATCACAACTGTAAAAAACTTTAAGTTTTTAAAATCTTTTTTCGACAATAACGATGGATTATGTACATTAAACTTTTTAGAAAACGTTTTAGTTGATATTCAACGTGCAGAATTGAAGTTACAACATGAACATACAACAGCTGTTGATCTTTATCGAATTATTTCTGATTTAATTAAAAAATTAGAACAACGACTAGATGATCATTATTTTGGCAATAAAGCATATATGATACTCAATTCATTAAAAGAATCTGATAAGAATAAAGCTGAAGAATTACAACAATCATTTAAATCATTCATCAAAGTTACTATCGAATATATTAATTCATATTTTGATGAAAATCGCAATTTCTATGAAAAATTATCGGTTTTTGATTGTCATTCTCCTCGATTTCTTAAATGGGAATATATAATGGATGTTCTTGATCTGATCAAGATTGATGATTTACATAAAGATGAACTGTATAATGAATACTGTGAAATCAAATTTATGTACAATAATTTAAAAAATAAAAATGTGAAATTGAACGAATTAATAAAATCATATATTTTAAATAAAAATGCTCATAATCCACAATCAACAACATACGAAGAAGAAAATCTTTTATGTAATGATAGTGATAATGAAGATTTTTTGTTACATGACAATATAGGCACATACGAAAATGTTCGTTCTGATCAGTTATGGTCCTATTTAATAGATCTTAAAGGTGCAACACCTAACATTAAAAAAATTATATGTTACGTTTTTTCTATTCCATGTAGTAATGCATATGTGGAATCTATATTTAGTCAAATGAATCATTTATGGACCAATTATCGCAATCGTATGGATATCCAATTAGTTGCAGCGGAATTGCAAATCCGAAAAAATTCAAATATTTCATGCAATGATTTTTACAAATATATAATATCTCAACAAGATCTATTAAAAGCCATAACAACAAATGATAAATATGAAACAAAAAAACTTATTTTTAGTCAATAATGCATATTTTTATCTTATAGAAGTGTTTTGAACTGTATATATATATATATTTATATAATACGTAAACTTTATGTTGTTTTTTCTTGACTGTCTATATTTTCTAGAAAACAATTGACTTTAATAGTGAAATAACATTTCAACTTTTTTTTTTCTATAAATTGTATAAAAATAAATTATGAGTGATGTGGACAACATTCTTTTAACATATATGCGGTCAATTTATTATCATAAATGTTACAAAATGGACTTCAGATTTTTTTCCGAATTTATTAAAAAAAGTTTCCGAATTTTGCCGAATTTTCCGAATTTTTCTATAAGAAAATCCGATTTCTAAGTTTTTGATCTGGCAACCCTGCTTGGAATTCTTATCATTAAAAACGTGCCACTTAACGAAAAAATTTTAAAGTCAGATCTTTGGAGTAATATCAAGCATTTGGATGAAGAGTGCGTTTAAAAGTTTTGATTTGTGACCTTTTTGTACTCTAGACGAACTGTATGTGATTGTATAATTAATAAAAATATCATTGAATGAATTGAAATCAAAAAAGTTGACAAAAAAAATTTGATGTACAAATAGGATGAAATCATTGATGGTGACCACACAAGTATAATTTATTAGAATTAATTTTTTCACGATACATTATTGTTGACTATTAAATCACAGGAGAAATCATCGACTTTTTTTTTGCATTACGAGTAAACTGATTCGGATAGTAGTGATACATCTCCAACTTCACGTTCATCATGAAATAACACGAATGATGATAATAATAATAATAATAATTGACCAATATCGTCAATAAATTTACATGAAGATTAGTTAGCTACAAGTAATACAAATCATATAGTTATTGTTGCATATACATCAATAAAATATGATGAAAATTTAATTATACCCGATTGCACAAATTTTAATTTACGCGCACATCAAATAGAAGTTCGTCTTATGTCATGGAATATTCTATATGAAAAAACAGCAACTGTTGATGAAAAAGGTGTGATTTTTGTTTGGATTAAACATGATAATCGTTGGTCATTAGAATTCATTAATGATCGTAATCATCCAGTTATTGATATGTCATGGTCACATGATGAGCGTATGACTATTATTCGTTATGAAGATGGTTTTATACTTGCTGATTCAGTTACTGGACAATGTTATTGGTCAACTATTTTAAATATTCCACAAGCGAAAATTTCTGCTATTACATGGATGCCTGATGTTTCGCAGTAATATAAAAAAAAAAAAAAACATGAGAATTTTTATTTTTTTTTTTTTTAGTGTTATTCTTAGTATAACAGCAGGACAATTAATTATAATGGATCATCATGGTAATGTAATAGAAATTATTTCATTATCAATACAATCAATTAAAAACAAGTAATTTATTCATGTAATAAATTTTATCTTAAAGCATCAGATAATAGTAAAATAGTTTATTTTATTTTAATATTTTTTTAAATAAATATTTTATTTTATTAGATTGGCAAGAAAGTTTTACGCCTTTTTTTATTATCTTACCCCTAAAACGAGACGCCAAATTTTCTGGCCAGCCCAATGGATATAACAAAATTTGTCAATGATGATTATATTCTTGTTCGTAGTCTTGAAAATGAACAAATACTTTTTCTTAATAATTATCAAGATCAATCATCGATTGTTGTTGATACTGAACTTCAAAGTAAAAAAAAGAGGGATATTTTTTGTTTTATTTAATTTTAAAAATAGATATTAAAATTGATTGGTCATCACCTGGAGAAATATTTACTGTTGGTGGACATAAACATTTAAATGATATTAATTATACAAATCAAATTATATTTTATACTCGTCGAAGAGAATTTTTACATCGTGTTTATATTCCACAACTCGTTTGTTGAGAGTTTTTAGAAGAAAAGACCTAGTTTATTAATCAAGTTAGAATATTAATAAAAGAAATATATGAAGATTTTATCCCTTAGGATCATCATCTCTAAGTCTAGACGAAGAATTTTATTAACTTACAATTAATTTAATTAGTATGTATGGTATTGACTATAAATTTGCACTTAATTTCTAATAGAAAAAAGAAAGAAATATTCTATGCACTAAAATTTAATTATACAGAGAAAGAAAGATGATGAAATCGAAATTAAGATAAAAACATAGAGATGATATTGGTTAGTGTTTCTTTGGAACTGAATCAAGTGGAAACTTATCTTTGATATTAGTATCAGTCTATCTGTAAATAAAAGAGACTCAACTTTTTGCATGATTATCCGTATCAGCACGATGCACAATGGATTAGAGCTTCTGATTATTGTTCATTACGATTTAGAATGATCATATTTATTTGAATATACAATGTGCATAGGCTAATCAAAAAATTCTCGGAACATCTTGGTTTTTATTAAATAAATGATAATTTCTAAAAATCTTATTTCATTACATGTTCAAGGTACTTGTCCCTGTTTGTCATAGGAAGTCTCATCTAATTAACTCAATTGTTACATATCTATTGTAATCGGAAATGCGATATGGAATGAGGCTTCCTGGTTACAGCTTGTTTTAAAGATTTGAAATGAGAATCACTGCCTAATTAATAGTGAGGATGCGTTTCGATGGGTGAGCGGCAGTGGCTGAGAAAAAGAAACTCAGGATGAGCGAAAATACATCAGTGGCAATCAGGAGAAGTGACAGGACGATGATAAGTGAGTAAAAATCCGGATATTGGAGATTTGAGGATGGACAATTAATGGTCAGAGTGAAAGTGAGTTAGTATGAGAAAACGATAGTGGATGGATGTATGAGATTATAATTTAGATCCATCAACCGTCTATTTTTATCTATCCTGAGTCCCTCTTTCTCAGCCACTATCGCTCATTCATCGAAACTCATCTTCATTATTAATTAGGCAGTGATTCTCATTTCAAATCTTTAAAACAAGCTGTAACCAGAAAGCCTCATTCCATATCACATTTTCGATTTCAAAAAATATGTAACAATTGAGTTAATTGGATGAGACTTCGTGTGACAAATAAGAACAAGTAACTTGAACGTTTAATGAAATAAGGTTTTCGAAATTACCATCTATTTAATAAAAAACAAACATGTTCCGAAAACTTTTTCATCACGCTATGTAAAAAAAAGAGAGAATAGGAATAAAACAGCAAGTGATATCATATTTGGTCGAAGACAATTGATCGAATTGGGATCATCTTGTAAAACACAATTGATAATGAATGTTGAATTCTCTATCGAGAAAATTAAATGATCATCATAAACACTTGATCAGTGAAGATTGTAGGACAGTAGTTGCTAAGATATCTCTCATTCACTGCCATCTCTACACATCATGGCATAGTACTTATACTAAAATTTTTTAAAATTTATGTTCTATTTTTGTTTCTAGACTCAACTATTATCTGCTCTATGCTGAGCTCATAGCAAATGGTAAAAAAAACAACAACATACGTAAATCTTTTATCAATTTTTTACTTTCTAGAAATTGTTTTTTTGTTGCATGTGGTTCATTTGTTTATACAATATGAATAACAGAGATGAGCGAGCCAGCCAAAAAGTCACACCGCCACCGCCCCGTCCCGTCCCGTTGATAAAGTTTCACACCGTCGCCGTCCCGCCTATTCAACAATAAAACCGTCACCGCCCCGCCCCGCCCCGTCTAAAGTCTGTCGTCAGAAGTCATTTATTCATGAAATTTTTAGTAACTTTTCATAATTACTATTATATTTCCTGAGATAAAATGGCATAATTTAAATACAGAGTGACTTACATATAATGACATGACAATAAGAAATTTAAATGGCTCTACTTCTGTTCATGCAAATGGGCTCATTTTTTGGTTGGTAATAGAACTCTCCTCAATTTTTTTCCGTTTGAATAATGTAAGTAAATCAAACTGTTAAGTATTTCAGTTGACGTCAACAAAGCAACTTCACTAGTTATCAAGTAAAAAAACCACATATGAAATATTGTGTATATGATTTTTAGTTATCATTTGACAGAATGACTTGAAAAAATTCAAACAAATCTTCTAAATGATACTACATTAATGTACATATAGAAAACTTTCTGGACTAGCTACTTTGAATACTGGAACTAGTGCTTGATAACTAAAACGCGTATCTGAAAGCCTTTAGTTACCCAGTTGGCAAGTTTTCAACAAAAATCAGTGTTCCACGTCTGAGACTTCGAAACATTGTAATTGCTAACTTTCAAATTGACTGGTTGAGAAATTTCTCTCAATGTCATCCATATAGTATCATTCAGCAGATTTATTTGAATTTTTTCAAGTCATTCTGTCAAACGACAACTAAAAGTCATCTACACAATATTTCATATGTATTTTTTTACTTGACAACTAGTAAAGTTGCTTTGTTGACGTCAATCGAAACACTTAACAGTTGGATTTATTTACATTATCCGAATGAAAAAAATTGAATCCTTTTGAATGACCAGAAGTAGAAATATTTAAACTTCTTGTCGTTATGCTATTATTTATAGGCCACCCTGTATATAAAGATGAAATTTCGAAATAGAAAAAAAATAAACATTTAAGAAAAATGTTAAAAAAAACTCAATATTGCCAAGGGGCGGGGAAACCGCAAGATCTTGCGACGCACCGTCACCGCCCCGCCCCGTCAAGTTTCTGCACCGCCCCGCCGGCGGGGCGGGACGGGGCGGGGCGGGACGGGGCGGGGCGGGACGGGGCGGGGCGGTGCGGTGTGAAACCGCGGCTCGCTCATCTCTGATGAATAACACAGAAACCATTACTGTCGATGTTAACAATATTCAGATGAAAATAAAACAATATTTACTAAATAATTCCTTAGACAATTTTGATAAAATTTACTTACCAAATAATTTAAAACAAAATCTTTTTTATTTATATCGTTCAACAATAAAAGGTTTTTCACCAGAACAATGAACGATACGTTCATTTGTATGTTATCCATTAAAATCTCATCTTCGTTTACAATGTACAATGAAACGTATTGATAATGAAATAGAAAATTCATCAACAAAAAATAATTTATCAGGAGCTATTTATATTTTATATATAGAATTTCTTAGTGGTCTTATACCATTATTAACAGCGAAAAGTGTATCAAAAGTTTGTCTGGATTTTATTATATATGATCCACAAATAAAAACAAATGATTTATCATCATCATTATCAAAAATAAATTCGCCAAAAATTATAACAAAAAAAAATTTTTTTAATCATTAACCCTTTTGCCATAGGGTCCGTATATGTACGGGCTGAGCTTTTGCTTACACAACTTCTGTGACATTTATCATTCCTCTGCTTTACTAATGTTCTGCAAGAGCATGATTTTTCATTCTCTATCTTATTCGATATTTTTTATACTTGTCCTAGCTAACCTTATAGAAGTCGTACTTAGCGCCGTAGCCAAAAGTTGTCAAATTAAGACATACTACGTTATGCTACTGAGGCAAAATGTCTTCATACAAAAAGAGGTAGGAATCTATTCATAAGACAAAGCACTTTACTTTTGAGGTATCATCTCAAATGCTATCATGGTGGTTACTCCAATATTCATACATTAATACTATCCTAGTCTATTCTGGTTGTACTCTAAGCGGCCATAGACTAGGATAAGGTAGGATTATCCTGCAAGGCTCTAGCACTTATCAGGTCATAAAAGCGATCTCACATTACTAGAATCAGTGCGTCATTACATAGTACTGTTATACCTGTATGCATCCTTTTTTTCAAGCTTTTTGACAAAAACCAAACATTTTATGTTTGTAGAAAAATCCCGTCGCGAAAAGGTTAAAACGATGTTCAAATACATTTCATAATATATCACAATCAAAATTTATAAATAATAATAATAATCGTTCAAGTTTAATAAGCAATCGAAATTCGATATACAGTGGCTACCAAAATTATCCAACAAGCAAGCAGAAGTTTTTTGTTTTGTTTATATTTCAATAGCTAGATAAGCTAGAATAGTCTGATTTTCACCACATCATAACTCATGATCTCTGGTATTTCTGTGGAAAATTTCAGGCCATTCCATTTATCTATTGAGGTTTTGTTGAGCATACAATTACAGCATACCATTTTTCATCCTTCTAAAATTATCCAACAAGTTATTTTTTTCGAGCCCCTCCACACTCACCTTAATATAAAAGTTACTCCGCGACATGCCATTCGAAAGAGCAAATTGTGCTCTATACGGTGACTACTTTTTCTCATAGCTTCTTTGGAGTATGGGTAAAAGAAACAGTGGTCTTGGAATCCGTATCGGAAATGTCAGAGAAGAAAGCTATGAAAGACAATTTTTCCGATAATGTTTGGTCTATATCGTTGTTCAATATATTATTTTGAAAGAGTATAAAAAAACTGCATTTAACAATCTATTCGAGTAAATATTTCATGTTGAAATATAGGGTTAGTCACAGTGGCGGAGCCAGAGGGAAGCTAGGGTGGGCTTAGTTCCCTACAAAATGTTGAGTTTCCTCTAGTAATAGTTTTGAAAAACGTATTTTCTGATAGAGAACTGTATTAGTCTTTGTAATAAAACGCTTTAATAGATATAGCTTATTGTGTGAAAACCAAGTATGCTTTTTGAAAGAAAGAAAAAACATTAAATATGTAAGTTTCAGTCAGGTTTTAGAGTGTTTCAGCTCCGAGTTTCACCCTGATTCGAGCGTGCACTGATAGATAAAGTTGTATCGAGATTCAGAGGTGCCTATGGTTGTAAAGTTAAGAGAAAAAACTTGTCTATAGTTGAAAGATATACTGCAATGGCAGTGTGCTTTTGGACTAATCAAAGAGAAAGAGATAATGTCATTAATATCAAATATATTGTACAATTAAAGTAGATTCATTTTCCAAAGATAAATCATGCAATGTTAAAAAAGGCAATTTTGAGTATTCAATCATATGTTTCTTCCAAGAAACAAACAATCAAAAATGATTACATTCAATGATCTTCTTCAACAACACCTGTAGTTGTCGCATCGTTAGCTTCGTCTATAGCTAGAAATGTGAGCCAATGTATTGATCGACAGCAGTAACCGAAACTTTTTTGTTTTTGTAATCATTTTTGGTGTTGGTGGCGAAATTTTCGTTAGTTTTTTCAAAAATTTCATTAACTTCGAGAAAATTTTAAGTAGAAAACAGAAATAATGACAGAAGAGACAGTTCTAACGATACAATACACCAGAAGATCCATGTAAAGTTATCTTAGGTACTCAAAAATATCCAAAAATTTCGTATTTATTTCTAGGTTATGGCAGTGACCGACAGTTAGAAATTTTACAGCTATCGACTGTTGGAAACTTTTTCAAAAAATCAGCGCCGATAGTCGCTCAGCCCGTTGGCTTACAACTGTAACCTGAGGAAAAATAATCATAAAAAGCTTATTCTAATTTGACAAACGGGGAATTCATTCGCCCTAAGAGAGACTGAAAAAATTTTGGGGGCTCAACCCCTTCTAGCTCAAAATCCTGACTCCGCCACTGACTGTTATCTTGACTCACCCTGTATATCAATAGAATATGTAAGCATGAATAAGACGAAAAATTTCAAATTAAATCTACTGACATAAAAATAAAACAATAACGTTTTGAATTTATGCAAATGAATATTTCTTCTATTTAACTATCATCATTTTCGATGGTTTTCTATTCACTCTAAAAAATTGCTTATATATTGTAACTATCAACTGACGTCCTCTACTCGGTAATCAACTAAGAACGCCTGTAGTAACCGTTTAAGGGAAACAAACGAATTAAGGGAAAATGTGGATACCATTATAGAGGCACATGAAAGAAAAAAAAATTTTAAGACGAAATTTTCTGTATTTTTAGTGCGAAATAAGATACGTCATACATATTTTTCACAGTTTTCAGTAAAATAACACTACTAGATCAATTTGTTATAAACATCATTTGTATAACAAATATTCTTTATGATAATTTTGTTTTATTAAATAACTATAGGGAAATAATTGTTACTTTGATAGAGAATTCAATAGTCAAATAAATAGTGTCCTTTTTTTCTATTGAGATGAGATCTAGTTTTCATCACAAAAAGTCATTTGTGTATTAAGAAGCAAAATTATTGTAATATATATCATAAACTTTTTCAAATAAAATATATGAAAGTTAATAAATGAAGAGCATTAAAATTCTCTTCAATAATGAAAATGGTCATGATGATTTATTAAAGTTGATTTAAATGAATCATATATTGCGATTTTCAATTTTTTATATCCGTACAATTTATGTAAATAGAAAGTCAAAGATAATCAGAAGAATAAATACAATATTTGAGATATCGTATTGTCAAGGTCAGATACGGATAATCTTTTCTTTTGAAAACATTGTACTAGTAGAAATATCTATTATGATTCTATTATATTAATAAGTTTGAAGTTTTCATTGATACAATTAATTGATCGATGAAGACAATTCTATATTTAAATCAAAGTAAAATCTATCATTTCCTACTAAACATTTCAATCTTGGTAGATACACTGAAAAAAAAAAATCACGAACTATAAATAAATCAATCGATCAACGTTAAATGAAACGTTATGTGTTTGTTTTTGATGAGTGCAAAAAATCATTTTTTTTTCTTTGGTGAAATAAAGAAAATGATTGTCTATGGAAATATGTTATCATTTTTCAAAGGAAAAGTCATTTAGAATTAAAATTAATTTTATTAAAAGTACAGTTTTAGACATTCTTCCATGAAATACTTTTTAGAATATAGTTAAATAATAAAATTCATATCAATTAAAACGAGTAAATATTACCTTGAAAGAAAAAATAAATCTAGTGCAAGACACGATGGTACTTTTTTTTGTTGTTGTTGTTGACTTCATGCTTCATTGGTTTGTGGATGTGCATGAAATTAGAAGAAATATGAGTTGCATATACAATTATTAACCCAGTGTCAGAGAACAGAACGGTAACATGAAAAACGTTACCCTGAACCTTTCACAAAATATACTTTCGGTAATTGTATGTTCTTTTATTGTATTCGATACACTGCTATGGAACGGTTACCACTATTCGAAATCTGAAAAATATCTTTTTTTGCCGCTTTTCTTTGTCATACCTAGATAGAACTTGTTGAGGTATCTATAGGAATGGTGATTTTTTACATAGTCAAACAATTTTTTTTCTAGAGAAATTCACGAAAATTAGCTTTAAAAAAATGAGAAAAGCCTGTAAAAATAGAAATATGCCGACAGTATCAAGTCTAATAGCCTTGATATTTATCAGAATATTTTTGATTTACTCATTATATAATGAGGACAAAAATGATGCTTGTCTGCGAAATATACTTTTTCATGGTTGAAAAAAATCGATGTTATCTATACGATGAAAAACGCGATAAATACGAGTTCATATTCAGAGACTTTCACCATCAGAACTTAAATTTCAACATCATATTGAGAATTCATACAAAGTTCTGTATTGAATAATAGACTCAATACCTAAAATAAATTTTCGTCAAATTTCGATGGTTACATATCATCACTGTTATTTTCGTAACAGCCCCATCTGTGCTTACCCTAAGCTTGAAAATTAGTTTTCAATATTGAGTATACTATTCGATACAGATTTTTCTACAGATTCTCAGTATAATATTGGAACTGAACTTCTGATAATGAAAACCTCTAAATACAAACCTATAATTATCGAGTTTTTCTATCTTATCGATAAAATCGAGTTTTTCAACCATAAAAAAAAATATTTCAAAAAGCAAGCATCATTTGCTTTCTCATTATATGATTAGTAAATCAAAACTATTCTGATAAATATCAAGACTATCGAGAGTTGCTGTTCTTTTTTGCATATTTTAATATTTATATAAATTGATCATATGTTTTTGAAATAATTTTCTCAAGTTTCACTATAAAAACATCAACAACATTTATATATTGAAGTTTGATGAGCTCTAATCAAGTGTTACAGAAAAAAATCGGTAAAAAATGTTTTTCAAATTTCGAATTGCGAGTATCTTATTAAAAAACTCATACTAACAAATTTGGTGACAGGATAAATAAATGATTAGTTGTTTTTTTAAATTCGATTAGTTATATAACGAATGTTTACTATCAAAAAGCAATATCATTTGATAAAAAAAGTCCAGATCATAGTTACTTATTGTTCCTCGATCAAGAACTATTCATTCATATAAACACCAACAGTAATAATTGACATTAAAGCTAAAGCAGTGTT